TCCAAACTGGTTATTTTGCCCCAGTGCTGGACACAACAAGCTGAAGTTTTACCTTAAAACTGTCATAAATGTTTTGTTTATTGTACAGAACTATGTACATTTGACATTCAAAACTGCAAAGGATACACATGTTATTTACAATTAGTAACAAATAGTGACATGCGAGATTATAAGTAGTGAGAGGAGTATAAGAATTCAAAACCTTCCTACTGGGTAATGTTAACCCATTCTTGCATTGGTGCTGTGTAGACCCAAATTAGGTCACTTTCAACACAGTGACTTTCAGTGTGCATAAGAAATTGGAGTTTACTGTGCTTTGTGAAACAAGGTAGAAAAAATTTGCTGCTTTTTATTGGAAATCCATTTTCCAATAAAAAGCAGCAAATTTTTTTTTCAACCTTTATACCTGAAGGGTTAAGTTTAAAGACTGTATTGCTAAAAAAAAAAAGATTTTGTATTTTATGGTCATTAAAGTATATTTATTTTATATTTTTTGCATCTAATGATGGAAAATCTGTTTGTTTTTTAAAGTATGATGATAATATTGTGTTATATAAGCCTGCTTGGTAGCTATGGTGATCTAACCTTCACATGACTGAACAATGGAATTGTAATTGACTTGTAGAAAATGAGGGCTGATTACAAAACATGAAGGGTTATCAACTCAATTTAGACCAAAACCCATCACAGATTCCATGGTCTGCTCTCAAATAGCAGGATACACACTTCTGTGTTGTCTGGTCATTATTCATGGTTATAAAAAAACACCCTTTGTTTCTATTTCTGAGGTTTAAAAAAAATTCTGTGTCTGTGTTTGTGGACTTTCCATCCTCCTCTTCCTCATCATCATCATTCAGCATTATCAGCCTGACTTATTTCTCTCTCGGGATTCTTTCGCTATCTGTCTGTCTGCTCCTTCCTGTCTTCTCCTCAACAGTTTGCCTATGTTAATCTCAGACACCATGTCATCAACCAGTTGCTATATATGTAATTATGTATTCATTTTCCTATAGAGTGGAATCCTTGTACTGCAACTGCGAGCATGGGAGGATTGTCAAAAACTCAGGTGGCGTAATTGTTGCGCACAGATAATGAAAACGATGCAGGTGGAGAACATGTGGTTGCTGGCTCATTATGCTGACAGGAAAGAGGAACTTGGCTGACCTCTGCTGGGCTCTGACAGGCAGTGTTGCAGATGTTGATCACAGTTAATGATTTGATCCAGGGTGTATATGTATAGTCAAGGCTTCCTCTGGATTCTGTTAATGACAGAATGGCTTCAAGGATCATTGCAGAGTTAGTGCTGCATCCTGTTGTGAGCATCATTTTTAATATGACGTCATTTTTGTGATTTTCTTAAATATTCACAGATTACAAATGAATCCGATTTTGTCACTGTGAATGTATAATTAAACTGTACAATGGTCAACTCTCGAGCAGCCCAAACAATGGTAGTAGGAGCTGAAAGCTATGATTTTGAAAACAACATTTTTTTGCACACGTTTTAATTGAGATTTTGCATGTGGAAACCCATCACTACATGGCTATATACATAAGAAAGAGGGCAGAACACGAACTGTGAGGCTTCACTGAGAAGGGAAAGGAAGAATGATGCAGGGAGAGCAAGTGAGAGAGTGAGTGAGTGAGAGAGGGAAGCAGATGGCTGGAAATATAGCCTGCTAAATTATTCATCTAGGCTGGAGTCTGGAGATAGATAGATGGATAGGAGCTGGCATGGACACTTTTATTAGGATTCCAAGAGCTGTGAGGAGAGTGGTTCAAAACACCATGATTGCCTTTTGAGACTACGAAAAGTAATTGCATCAGGTCTGAGAACAGCTATTTGCTGGAGGAATTAAATCTCTTGTTTTCAATCAAACTGCAAAATAAGGGGAGATACCTGCACCTACCTAACTTGTGAAGCATGAAAATATGTTTTAGCCCCATAGATGTGATTATTCAGCTGCAGTAAGTTCTTCCATAAAGCCAATCTCTGCTGATAAAGGAAAAGAAAATCTGTAACAAATGTCCTAATCCTTAGTTTTGACCAATATTGACTCCGTATTAGGTGATTCAGGATGCTGCTTGTTGTCTGAAAGACTTGGGGAGCCAAAACATCCCAGCTGCCCTCAACAGTGTGGGTTTCAGAACAAGTTATTTCAAAAGTGAGGTTGAATAAAAATGAAAAATGAATGAAAGAGGGAAAATGACCCGGTCCGTAAAATAAGATTTGTGGTAAGCATATGTAGTAAACGTCTGCTGTGGGAAGTAGAGGAGTCCTTGAGTGGGTTCCAGGGTGTCCAAGCGTACTCAGAAATGGATATAGTTCACTATAATTCACCAGAATGTCTTTCTCTGAGTATTGTAACTAGTAATTTCCAATCTAGACTACTACTGTTATATTTGCTTTAAAAACCTGTATTTGCTCCAAGATAGGTGTTGCTTTCCCCCTCGATTAAACCCATCGAGAACACACAAATGCTCTCTCCATGTTCTATTTTTCCAATTAGCTTTTTGCATTATGTGCATGATGTATGACTCTCCCAGATTCATAGGCACACACAGAAACAGATGCACACAAACCCCTGAGTGGAGGGCTCCGGGGAAATAGAGCAGAGAGGAAGCTACGTGCCTTCACCAAGCAAGTGCTGTCTGGTGTCATGGCAACCAGTGCAGATTACCCCACCCTCCATCAGTCAGAGAGAGAGGAGAGGAGAGGAGAGGAGAGGAGAGGAGAGGAATGAGGGTTGGGCACACTCACACAGATGTACACACATGTGCGTACATGAATGTATGGAGACACGTGACATTGTTGCATCCAACATCCAGCATGCTCCTGTAGGATTTTAAATGATTTGACATTCAAAATAATCAGTTTCAATGTGTAAACTGGTGTTTGTCAGCTTTTAAAATGTAAAATGTTTTTTTCTGTATTAGCAATCCAGCAACAGCAGTCAACACACAAAAAAAACCCTGAATCGACAGGCGAGCAGAAGGAGACAGCAGAGGTAGAAAGGAAGCGAGAAACAAAATGAGGAGGGAGGGAGGGAGGGAACTGGGAAGGTGAGCGATGATGAGAGTGGTGCAGGGAGAGGTTGAGATGTGTGGAGGGGCCATAAACATATAGTACAGCTAAATACGTCTGGGGGATATACTGTTATTAAAAGCAGTAAGGTTATCCAATGAGCAGCTTTACTGTGGGGGTGGGTAGTTTGCAACGTGCTAACACGTTCCACGCCGAGGGAGTCCTATTGAAGTGAATTTAGCGGGAGATATTATTCTCTGAGTGTGTATGTGTGTAGTTTAGTGCAGAGAGGAGAGGAGGGATGCTGGGCAGGAGGAGAGCAGAGGCAGTGATGCATGGACGAGCTGACAGCAAGAGAGGGGGAAGAGGAGGGGAAGAAGAGGAAGGGAGATAATATTAGAGTCTGCGTGAGGGTAGAACAGGGTAGCTGGAGATTTTTGTAGCAAAAAAAAAAAAATTGGCGAGAACGATAGGGTGTGGAAGAGATAAATGGCACCAGCAAGAGGAGAGGAGAAAAAAAAGCTGGAGGGAGGGAGAGAAAGGAGAGAGGCAGAGACAGAGTAGGAAGGAGGAGGGGCGAGGTGGGGAGGGAGCTGAGGCCATTTGAGGATATCGCCTCCTAAATTGACTGCGGCACAGCCATCGTCCACAGTTACATCACAGCTGAGCTCAAACTCAGGATGAACCCCCCCACCCCCCCCCACCCCCGTCTGCCTCTTTGTCTCTGCCAACCTTAAAGCACTTCAAAGCCAACTTTTGACTGTATGGCAATTAAGCAGAGTAGACTGAGCATGTGCGATGGGATGAATCATCATTTGATGGGATCCACCACCACAGGATCCAGCTGAAATCCCGAGCAGACGTTTTCTCGTCGACTTCCATCGTCTGTGTGCTGCAGTCATCCTCGGTAGCAGCAACATGGTTGTAATCAGCCTCATTAAGGCTCTAGGAGCAGAAAGGAGCAGTCTGTGATTAGAAATCAATTAGCATCACCGCCATGACCATGGTGCACTGAATTGTCATCTCCTGCACACAAAGTAACTCTGTCTCAGCATCAGCAGGCCTGTAATTCTGAACAGACGAGCAACATATTTCAAACAGATGAGGACGAACAATATTTGTTTTGCTTTTTTCAATCTTTTTTTTCTACTGAGTTTGCAATTTCATGCTGACATTGACGAAGAACCGGTATTTAATTGTACATCGGTCACATCTGGCTGATACTTGATCCGTGCAATAAGGTCAGTATGGGCCCAGATCCCGATCTAGCAGATAAGATCTGTGTAGCCTACTTTTTTGTAACAACACACTTGTTTCACAGCAGACATTTTACCCCATCTACCCCTGGTATACATATTCACTTTATATCTGGATATCACACCCCATAAGCCCTATCGACATATAGTGTCATAAGAGGACTTAGTGGTGCATATCCCTAAAGACATTGTCAATTAAATTTGCACAAACCAGTTGACATACAGTGGAACTTGTGGAATTCTGGAGATCAGGTCCCCTGTTTGGCTGGTTTGTAATCCAGCATTGGCAACTATCTTCCCTGAAATGATCCTGCATCGCTTCCCCTCACCTGGAGCGCACCATGTTTGTTCACATCTCCACCTACACGCTTCCTTGTTGTTATCCGATCACAGTGTTGGCAGAATCAAAAAGCTTATTTTGTGACTTGCCAAACACAGCTTTAATTACTAACATCAATAATGGCTGCATTCAATTCAAGTGTCCTAAATCTCAGGCACAGTGCATAGTCGCTGACTAGCCCTCCTAAATGGAACAGAACCACGATTAATGATATTAGTTGCACCTGGTTAGGTCAGGTTGACAGTTAAAGGTTGAAATTTAACATTTTAACTTTGTCCATTTGAGTACAAACCATCAGAATCTTCCTCCTCCCAGTTATAATGTCTGTAATGATGTAGAGATTAACCTAATGGATCTTTTCCTCTCCTCCTGTTGCCAGGACATGAGACTGGAACCTGCAGATGATCGCTGGCAGCAGTCTGTAAGTACTGATGTGTCATACACTCTGCATAGTTAAGTAGATAAAAGCAAGTGTGTTTAGGAGGGAATTGGAGGGTTTGGGAGGACAGCCTGATGCTGGTCTGCTGGCTGTGTTCCAGTGTGAGGTGTGCTATTGAGACCATTATCAATGTAAGGCACTAACGCAACCATATGTAATCTTATGAAATACCCTGACGTGCACAAACTGGGCTTTGAGCACAAAATGTTAGGTAAGGGAGACACTACTGGAAAAGGCAACTTGATTCAAAATCCATAACTTTCCAAAGCTCTCTCTCTCCAGAAGCAAATGCAAATTGAAATCTGAAGACACACCAGTTAGCAAGTGTGATTCGAGCTGAAACAAGTAGTCAATTTATCTACTGGTTGATTGATGATTAAAAAATTTTAAAACATTTTCTAGTTCCATTTTCTCAGTGATGAGGATTGATGGTGAGTATGCAATAGTAAACACAATATCTTTAGGTTTTAGAGCACTGGTTGGACAAAAAGAGCATCATGTATTTTATGATTTTCCACAGTAGATATAAATATACTTATGAAACAGAGCAACACAAAATATGAAAACCAGCTTTACTAGACCAACTGATTTATTAACCTGAACCTCAAAGTCATCCCTAACATAAGCAAGCTGGTTTTTATTTCATGTAAATCACCTACTGTAATCTTTTGGCCGTGGAGAAATTTCACTCTAGCGTTTATGTTTATTTTCCTTAATTGGATGAGACTGTGCTGCACATGGTCTGGTCTCAATTTTTTTGAATCATGCTTACACCTTACGCTTTTTTTCTGTCATACAGTGCTTAATTTGCGCTATAATAATCATGACGTTTACTTTTCATTTTTCACGAACTGTAGCATTCTTTGCTGTTGCTCTACCAACATGCGCATGTCTGATCCCGTGTGGAAGGACGCATACATCATAAATGTATTTCATATCTCCTGTGCAGACACATAGTTTACACATGTTCCACAGTTATTTTGAGCTCTGACAGAATAGGAGAGATGTTCAACACATCAGGTTCCTGCGTCCCTTAGTCTCACTTTCTGTCTGTGTCCCTGTGTGATGCAGCTGTTAGCTTTCTGTGGTCAGCACCCTATAAATACAGCAGCTGACTGATGGAGCCTGCAGCAGCTGTCTGCTGTCCCACGGAACATGGACACATAATGTACACACAGATCTTAATGTGCAAAAACACATGTGGTGTGTTTGTTGTTGTAAAAGCATTTCGCAGACTTTAACTGGGAAGAGAGTCCAACCCCAGCATCTTTTCTTTCTCTCTTCAGTTGTTTGTTCTTTCTTTCTTTGTATGCAATTCCTGTTTCCTGATCAGTTTCACCTGTTTTATCACTTTCTCGAATTGACTACATTCATGAGTCAAAATAATAATGGGGTTATTGGGGCTACTATGACTCAAATCCATCACACATTTAGTTAATAGTCAGTCGCTTAGCTGATTTCTCTCTCTCTCTCTCTCTCTCTCTCTCTTTTTTTTTATTGTTGGTATAACTGTACACGGTGTTCTTATCATGGTGGTAAGGTGTCTGAAAATCAATCAAATGTATTAAAATAACAACTTTACTGCAAGGAATTCTTGATAATAACAATGCAATATTTTATCCAGCATGTAAGTGTAAACCTGATATCTGATTTAAAAAAAAAAATACAAATATCGCGATAAGCCAATTATCAAAATGTTGCAATTGAATAGAATTAAATGGACAGATAAATCCATGGAGAGCGTTTCCCTCCTCTGTCTACCAGGCATGACAGCAGAGAGTGGCAGTGAAACAATGATGCGGATGTTGAGGATCCCACATTTATCCTCCCTATTCAGTACTGCAGCAGCTGTACAGACATAAGGAGAGGCATCATTACCGAGAACCTAGGCCTGTTAATAGGCCCGCGACGTGGGGGGCCTGCCGCCTCTATGCAGGGCTCACGAGAGGAGAAAGGAGAGAAGAGGAGATGAGGGTGGGAGAGCGAGGGGAGGTCAGGGGTTAGGGAGGAGGACAAGATGTGGGAGGAGTGTTTGAGACAGGAGGAGCAGGGAGGGAGAAGGAGTGAAAATGAGTTTGCGTACAGTATTGGGTGTATTTTTATCTTTCCTGAATGAAAGAGCATGAATGGATCCGGGATTGCTTGCCAATTTCTGCTGCGAAATGGCTATAACCCAGCAAACATTTAGATGATGAATAGATGTTGATACGATGGCACTTTAAAACCTCCATAGGTATAGGATCAAAATGAAAGCTGAGATATTTGCATGGCTACTGATCTTAATCAGAATATTTTAACCGCAAACACAACTTTCTGCTGCCTCCAAGTTATTGCAGGTTCAATCCCTAATTATCAACAGAATTTTGGATTCTCATTTTTACGTGGCTTTGGAAGCACCTGCCAAATGAATTAATGTAAATGTAAAAAATATCCACCATTGTCTAGTGGTCATTTTTCTAATCATTAAAAAAAATCACATTAAAGCAACTATTGTTATTCAAAGCCTGTGGATCTCATTCCTCTGTGCAACAGAGCTCCATTGTTATCCAAAAACTATTAGAATCACATCAATGAGCCACACTGTTTTTGAACCTGATCCAAAAAGTGGAAGCTACCTAAATAAAAATATTTTAAATTAGATAAATCATTTTGTTTGACATATATTTAAAATAGAGTAAATCCAAAAGGGATTATTAGACCCAATCCAAAATGTAGTTAACCAAAAAAGACCCATGTAAAGACAGAGGACAGCAACACATCGAGAGTGTGAGCAGTAATACGTTCACACGCTCCATTTCATTTCAAAACTCACAGTTTTATAATTGTAAAATAATAGTGTGATCAGACCTGATAGCGTGGCTGCTTGAGCCACTCAGGAGCCTTTTGTAAGGATTCTGTAGGAACAAATGGGCTTTGGGCTCAACTACAACTGCCAACAACTGAAGTCATCCAGCAGCACACTGTGTTGACTTGCTAATTACATGCAGATGCAAATATACTGAGCATGTGATCAGACGATAGCTTTATGTTTGGAGTCTGATAAGCCTCCAAACATATGGATCTATTACTCAAACTAACCGTCCTGAATCGTATGTCATTGTCTCACCTTAATCAATGCAGCCCCTTCCTTTTTTCCCCTCAGCTTTAACTCAAACTTTTTCATATTAAAACCAGAGGTTTCAAATTTTAAGTCTGACACTGTGGGCCCCTCTGATACAAAATTAGTTCATATTAATGGACTGATGGATCATTTTTTGCCTTAATTCATTTTGAGGAATAATCCCGCTCAAGTTTTGAAACTACACTTCCCATTATTTGGGGCCTTTGGGTGTAAACAGAAAGTATAATGTTACCATGGAGTCAGTAAGTTAGCTGTGAGCTGCAACTTGAGCCCTGTTTTTTAGCCTGTATTTGTTTACATTTTGGCACATAGGCAACATTAAAAGTATTCTGAATTAGCTATTAGCAGTTATTATTTGCAATGTTCCCATGAATATACAGATATGATGGTTAGTTATAAGCAGCATAGTTTTATGCAGTTTGATGGACATAATGGAAATAATGATATTCACGATAAAGTATAAGTACACCGAATGTGAAAATATGTGTATCAGGCCTGTGCGAGGAGTACAAATCTTGATAAAATTGTTATTATGTTGCTAATAAAAAAAGGGTGAGATATGATGTGACACACCCTGTTGGAAGCATTGTATGTCTGAATCAGATATAATGGCTATTACTTGCAATCTCTTGTCATGTCATGTCTTGCCAAAATGCTTTACCATACGACAGTATAAAATCACAGTAACTGAACTCGACACAATTTTCCCCCCTGAACTGAGTTTTGTTGTTGTTACAATGATGTTTTCCCCTTTTAATGGAGCGTATAGCAGTTGTGTTTCATGCCTCTGGCAGCCTCTGCAGTCTGTGTTTGTGTGTGTGCATGTGCTATCTGAGCCTCTTCGTGACCTTCAGAAAGTACTGCCGTGCCTACTTGCCACACTCACAGTCGTTCTCCGATTGTGAGAAGTTGAGCGTTCGCCTCTGCAGTGGAAAGGTGGAGTTCTGGGTGTGGCCTGCGGACATTTTGGGTAAGAACGTGATTTGCAAGGAAAAAATGCACACCGTGTATTTGTGTGTGTGTGTGTCTTTCTCCTGTTGGTCCCAGGCTGTCTGAAGGTCATGCCATCCCCATGCTCAGCTTCATGGAGAGCTGCCAATGCTGACGGCTGCTGCTGCTGCACTGTGTGTCTGGCACATGCTTCCCCCACTGCAGGGCATTGATTAAGTGGCACAGCTATGCCTCACCTGCTGGAACCAACCAATACCAATACAACAGAGGCTCCAGCCAGCCAATACCAAAGCAGGGAGAGGTTTGGAGAGGCTGGAGACAAACCGGCAGCCAGCAGACAAGTGTTTTTTTTTCCTCTGGTGAAAAAAAACGGAGAGAGTATGGAGGAGGAGTAGAAGAACGAAAGATAAGATGGAGGGTTAAAAGGGGGGGGGGGAATGATGGAAAGAGTGAAGGGTAATGAAGCACGGTGAGATGGATGACAGAGGAGCGAGGGACAATGGCTGTGAAGGAGGGATATACTGAAAGAGAGAGATGGGAAGAAAGAAAAAAAAAATACAGCTTTTGAAAATGCGACAGGGACGAGCAGACTTAAGGGAAATGGGCGAGGAGACTGTATTCATGATCACACACATACCGACACACACACACACAAATATTTTGAGCTTTTTCAGGGTGCTTTAATGAAGCTGTCAGGATGAAAAATGAGCTAGTCAAATCTAATAACTTGAGAAGTTAAGAAGCAAACTTTTCATGCAGAACTGTGGAGGAAAGTGGATTCTGTGCCGATGAGGCTGAGCAGAGAGACATACAGTATTTGTCAAGAGCTGAAACATTGATAGTATTGCTTCAGTGCAGTAAAATTATGAAGGGGATTCACCAAACCATGGTTTGGTTTGCTGTCCAAACT